GTGTCTTCTCTCCACTAATGTAAGAATTCCAAAGGAAATTCCAAAATAGGGATTCCAAATGAGGATGTAAAAAGGAATCTAAGCCACCTGGTGAGCAAATTCTAAAAAGTGTACTTAGAGATCCCCAGTCAGACCGAGGTGACAGCACATCATGTATCCACACTGCTTGGGGTGATTATAAAGGTGCTTTCGCACCGGAGGAACCTTTTCATAGTTCTTAGGACTATTGGCAGTAGTTCCCGCTTTATGGCGTGTTCACACTGCAGGAACTAATTTAGTTCTAGGACCTCCATTTGGGGGAACTAAATTAGAGTTGTAGGAGATTTAGTCAGATTGCCATGCTCCTTCGATCACGTAATTGTGCGTTTACATAATATCTCTTTTATCATGAAACCCACAACACACCAAAACCAGCTCCGATTACAGCGTTCTCCATTCAGCGGTTGTTGATGTTTATAAATGCCATGAATAAAGACGTCACTGTCTGCCGCATTGGAGTTCCTGCTGCAAATGCAACCAGGAAAATGGCCAGAGGGAGAAATTGGTTTTCTAGGAACGACCATGCTGGCTAGTTCCTAGAACTACACGGTGCAAAAGCGCCTTAAGACACTGGCACGACTGGGTTTGAGGGCAGGTTATTGAGGAGGTTATCTAACTAGGGCTCGTCGAAGAGGCCTGGATGTGCATGTCCAGCATCATCGTAGTTTCAAAATCCAATCCTGGGTCTGTAGTGACTAAATGAACAATGGGCTTGTCCAAATACCCACTTGTGGTCTTTGCACTTGGCCACTTTTCTACTTACATGATGTTTTTCCTGTATTTGGCCCAAGTGTTCAAGTGAGCGTGGAGACCACAAGTGTGTTGAACTTTTCATTACCCAATGGGACACACTTAAAGTGTTGTAAAAATGTGTTTACAGAGCTTTGCTTTGATTTTCAATACTTTGCATTTTAAAACAAACTTCTAAATGGCTGTTCAGTAGTCCGTACAACAGATGACACAATTTAGTAATTGTGGTGCTTCTAATTAAGTGATAAAAAGCAGTAGCAAATGTTGTACAAAATAAACATACTGATCTTTGCACCAATAAAATGTGCAACACTTTGTTTTGCTACCAAATTACATGTACTATATAATTATTATTAATATTCTGCAAAGGTTTCCTAGACCTCTTGCGAGATCTCTGCAAAAAGTCTAAATTTATTTACAAAACATGATGTATGATGGGATACACTTAGCCTCGAATACCACTCCGGAGGATTTAGTGTGCGTTAAAACAGGAAGATAATTCTGCTCACCAACTCCAAGCCCTAATCACCTCCCAGAGAGATTGTCATCCATTTCTGAGAGCTCCTTCCCTGTCTTCAAACAATATACATCCAAAGTCGACATCTTCAGATTTCCAAGTGTGTTGCCAAGTTTGTCAGTTCTACCGGAATGTCCCTGCTTTGGCACAGTCTGATCAAAAAATTACAAATTGCAGGAATTTGTTTTGCCAGAATGTTCAGTAAGTCGTTACTGTGGATTTTTGATTCTAATTGATTGTAGATGTGGTGGTTCTTTGTAGCCTGCACTGAATTATAGTAACAGCAATTGCTAGGTAGATTAATGAAACTGTTGTGAATACTTGGCTTAATTAACAAATGTTAACAAGGCAGCCGAATGCAGTTGTGATAAAATTAGCCTAATTAGCTCAGGTTTTCAAGGATGCAGTATTTACAGATCAGACTGAACGTATTTGACCATGATAAATTATCACCGTTGGCCATTTCTGCAGGGAAGAGTGGTGGGTGGGTGGATGGATTTTACTTACCAAATCGGATCCATCTAAGAGATACAATCTGCTTTACTGATAACTTGGTGTTTCACAATGTAATAGTCTTGGTGTGCTACAAACCACTGAATCACCCTGGCATTTGTATACTTGTTCAGTCTCTAGAGCAGTGGTTCACAGCCATGTTCCTCGAGCATCTATCCTTTGTCTGACAAACACATTTCCGGTCTTCAGGTCTACTAATGAGTTGATTACCTGAATCAGGTGTGTTTGATTAAGGAGGCATGCAAAATTTACGTGTTAGGCTGGCCACACACTAGACGATTTTCAAATCCTAATCGATTTTAAAACCATGGGAGACCACAGACATGAAGACAGCTTCAACCGATTTTTAGCCTTATAATCCTCTGAATGCACACACTGGATGATTCTAGCAGACCGCGAGACGACACACTTGCCCTGCGTTCCATTCTGAAGGGCTCATCCCTATACCCTAATTCAGGGCTGTCCAAACTCGATCCTGGAGGGCCGGTGTCCTGCAGAGTTTAGCTCCAACCCAAATTAAAAACACCTGAACCAGCTAATCAAGCTCTTACTAGGCATAGCAACTTCCAGTCAGGTGTGTTGAGGCAAGTTGGAGCTAAACTCTGCAGGACACCGGCCCTCCAGGACCGAGTTTGGACAGCCCTCCCCTAATCCCTTCAAAGGGTTTACCCTCTGGAGTGAGCGCTTCGAAGGGTTGAAGGGTGTAGGGGACTAAACAACTGTTTCTTGAAGTACCCTTCAGCATCATCATCATGTGCCCACACGGAGGCGCCGTCATCATGCAAAGAA